AGCCCGATGCGGGACTCGATCCCGGGACTCCAGGATCATGACCTGAGCCGAAGGCAGTCGCTTAACCAACTGAGCCACCCAGGTGCCCAAGAACTTATAATTTTAAGAAAGGCTTTTATGTTATCTAATCTTATAAACTATGGGGCAGAGTAGATGACCATGCCAAATTGATTAATAATGTGAGAGTAAGCCCATAAATTGTACACTAAAAGTTTAATTCGGATTAAGATTGGATGGACCAAAAATTATTTCCAATTTACTGACTTTTGTGTCTATCTTACAAAGTAGAGATACCTCAGCATAATTAATATTAAAGGTCAATGAATGGATGGGAGAGCTACATTCTAAACTTATCTGGAAGAAGTAATGGAGTGTTATGAAAGGAAATGAATCATTTTTAAATCAAATACTTTAAAATAGTATATATATTTATGTACTGTATATTTATATATACAACTATTCGATGAGAGATTATTTGCTTCTGGGAATTCTGACATTTTGCAGATATGCTTGACTCAAATTTTTCCAATTTTTTATTTATGCATTAGTCATAGATTTTTTGGACCCACTTAGGTTATAGCAAAGTTCCTTCTATAGAACCCTTTGGGATTAATTTGAATTTATTAATCCCTTTTCCAAATGTGTTTAAGGAATAGTGATGTCAGTTTGTTATTGAGTGATTTACATACAATAGATATTCTTATAATGGAAGCCAGACTTAAACTTTGAAATAGTTACATAACTTGGAGAAATGGAAATGGGAAATATAATGTATATCTAAAACAAATGGATTTAGTGGTTTCACAAACCTTGTCATGAGGAGATTCAACACCTGAGATCTTTTTTTAAAAATTTATTTTATTTATTTATTTTAATTTAAACTTTTTTTAAAAATTATGTTATGTTAATCACCATACATTACATCATTAGTTTTTGATGTAGTGTTTCATGATTCATTGTTTGCATATAACACCCAGTGCTCCATGCAGTACATGCCCTCTTTAATACCCATCACCAGGCTAACCCATCCCCCCACATCCCTCCCCTCTAGAACCCTCAGTTTGTTTCTCAGAGTCCATAGTCTCTCATGGTTTGTCTCCCCCTCCAGTTCCCCCACCCCATTCTTCCCTTACTGCTATCTTCTTCTTTTTTTTAATTTTATTTTTTAAGATTTTATTTCTTTATTTGAGAGTGAGAGAGAGATTGGGGGAATGTGCAGAGGGGGAGAGAGAGGGAGAAAATCTCAAGCAGACTGTGCTGAGCATGAAGCCAGATGTGGGGCTCAATCTCATGACCCTGAGATCATGACCTGAGCTGAAACCAAGAGTCGGTTACTTAACTGACTGAGCCATCCAGGTGCCCCAACACCTGAGATCTTTTAAAAATACCTGCTTAGTATCTTTCGTTTAAAAAGAAAGGTGTGATTGACTTATTTCACTTAGCATAATACCCTCTAGTTCCATCCACGTTGTTGCAAATGGCAAGATTTCGGGTTTTTTGATGGCTGCATAATATTCCATGGT